TTTTTTCAATTACCTTATTTTTTGCTCCAGTTTCTGAATCATTAATGAAGTATAGCAAAATGTCGACTCCCGAAGAATCCATTTTTTATTTGTTAGTCATCTGTTTAAGAACAAACAACAATACGACAATATAGATCTGAGTTAGTATTTGAAATGGTATCAATGTTCTAAAAACACATAATTTTGATGCGCACATTAGTTTCAATCAGAACAATGACAATAAATCGATATAGAACTTAAAATAATTAAATATTTACAAAGTATTACAAACATAATCGTTCGTAATAGTAGTTTTCATATTACTTTTTCTTAGAACTTTCTGATTTTGAAAGATATTTGAATGAACAAACAAGATTCGTATGTGTTTTTGGATCAAATGTTCGACATTCTAAAAAATAAAAAAATTTAAAAAACAGGACACACTAAAAAAATGTGAAGTACAGTTATTGTTCAAATTGAATTTTAAAAATTGGTCTGAAATCTAATTAAATACCAGATCTAAAACTTTTTATAAATAAAATTATATACTTTAGTAAAATATCGATACTTCATTTCTGGATTTCATTTTTTTCGACACAAAACTTTCGGATTTGAAAGAAAATTCACAAAATTAAACCAGATTCGTCACATATTTTAATAAAATTCACAGAAAATGATAGTGAACTGCAAAAACCATAAAAAATATCCATAAATTGAAGAAAATCCATGAATAGTAGGCTGATCTATAATATTTTTTTATCATTTTTCGAAATCGGACTGTCTATTCACATTATCTATGAACAATGAGTTAGTAGATCTGGATACGGTAAAGGAAAAACGACCTTCCATTTTTATACAATAATCCCGAATACAAAAATTAAAAAAAAAAATTAAAAAATGAAAGACCTCAGTCGTTCATAAAATTTTTGAATCGGGTGTATCATACATATTCATCCGATCATATTCGACTGAGATTCTTATCAAACTCGACTAACATTAACTCAAATCGATGAAAATGAAAATAATAAAAATAAATAATAAACTGAAAAAGCCCATATCAAGTTTTTCGAATCCGTGCTCAAAACAATATGCATCATGTCGTAATCGACATGGATTCTCATAAAAATCTATTATCATGAGCTGAGTTCGTTCAAATTTAAAACAAAAATAAAAAAAAATGAAACGAAAGGTCAGGTGAAGGGTCGAGAAAGATGAATCGGTGGGAGAGAGAAGTGAGAAGAAGCTGAGAGAACAAATGACAAACCCTAAAAAATCGAGTTTTTTTTAATCTTTTATAGCATGCTTTATTGATTTCAGGCCATTAGATATTGTTTGACTAATATTAGCCGTCCGATCGGCTAATAGTTGTTTATTGACCGAGTTCAATCAAATGATAATGGGTCAGATTTTTTGAAATGTATTGGGCCCTGTTCGGACGGAATCATTAAAATTTTAATAATGGACCGACTTTACACCACTGCTAATGGACAAACTTACTTTAATTATATATTTAATTTAATGGTATTTCATTTTTTTATCAGTAAATGTAAATTCATAAATCAAAACTGGTATACAAATGACTAAAAGTCGGCATACAAAAGCGCAATAAGGAGCCACAATCTCGGCTCCCCATTGGTCTATAAATCAAAAATGGTATTTCATTAGCTTATTGTTAACAAATCTTGGATTTTGGTAACAAATTTGATCTGATTTTAATAACAAATCTTAGATTTTGGTAACAAATTTGATCTTATTTTGATGACAAGTCTCGGATTTTGTTAACAAATTTGATCTGATTGTGATAACAAATCTCAGATTGTGATAACAAATCTTTTAAGATATCGGTTTTTCTTTGGTAACACGCTTCATAGTTATTTACACACAATATATTGTCGATAATCTTTGGGATTTCTTTTGGTAACAAATTTCACAATTTTTTCGATTGTTTGAAGTTAAATATTGCAGAAAAAATCTAGAGATTTGATAAATGATACATATTAAAATAAAAATATTATTTTTCAATCAATACAAAAAGCCTTACCAAATTAAATTGTAACAAACTCCATTAATTTTGGTAAACATTATGCCACATTGATATGACACATAATCTTCAAAATAAAAATTTAATTGTTGATTTACTAGTATAAACAATATCAATGAGTCCCACATGTCAACAAATTTAATCGGATTTTTATAACAAATCTCGGATTTTGGTAACAAATTTGATCTTATTTTGATAACAAATCTTGGATTTTGTTAACAAATTTGATCTGATTGTGATAACAAATCTCGAATTTTGATAACAAATTTGCTAAAATATTGGTTTATTAGTAACACATTTCATAGTTATTTATACATAATATATTGCCGATAATCTTGGGATTTCTTTTGGTAACAAATTTCACAATTTTTTCGTATTGTTTGGAGTTACATATTGTAGAAAAAATCTCAAGATTTGGTAAATGATACATATCAAAATAAAAATATTATTTTTCAATCAATCCAAAAAGCCTTACCAAATTAAGTTGTAACAAACTCCATTAATTTTGGTAAATATTATATCACATTGATATATCACATAAATTCAAAATAAAAAAATTAATTGTTGACTTACTAATATAAGCAATATCAATGGGCCCCACATGTCAACAACTTTAATCGAATTTTGGTAGCAAATTTGATCGGATTTTGATAACAAATCTCGGATTTTAGTAACAAATTTGATCATATTTTGATAACAAATCTCGAATTTTGTTAACAAATTTGATCTGATTGTAACAAATCTCGGATTGTGATAACAAATCTCGAATTTTGATAACAAATCTTTTAAAAAATCAATTTTTTTGGTAACACATTTCATAGTTATTTACACACAATATATTGACGATAATCTTTGGGATTTCTTTTAGTAACAAATTTCACAATATTTTTGGATTGTTTGAAGTTTAATATTGCAGAAAAAAATCTCGAAATTTGATAAACGATACATATTAAGATAAAAATATTATTTTTCAATCAATCCAAAAATACTTACCAAATTTAATTGTAACAAACTCAATTAATATTGGTAAAAACATTATGTCACATTGATATGACACCTAATATTCTAAAATTTAATTGGATTTTGGTAACAAATTTGATCGGGTTTTGATAACAAATCTCGAATTTTGGTAACAAATTTGATCTTATTTTGATAACAAATCTCTGATTTTGTTAACAAATTTGATCTGATTGTGATAACAAATCTCGGATTTTGATAACAAATCATTTAAAATATTGGTTTTTTTTGGTAACACACTTCATAGTTATTTACACACAATATATTGTCAATAATCTTTGCGATTTGTTTTGGTAACAAATTTCACAATTTGTTCGGATTGTTTGGAGTTAAATATTGGGAAAAAAAAAATCTCGAGATTTGATAAATAAGACATATCAAAATAAAAATATTATTTTTCAATCAATCCAAAAAGCCTTGCCAAATTAAATTGTAACAATCTCTATTAATTTTGGTAACATTATGTCACATTGATATGATACATAATTTTCAATAGCCGACAAAATTCGAGACACATGTAAAGCGTTGCACATTTTTTGTTTTTGTTTTTGTTTTAACAAAAAGGGATAAACATATTTTTTGAAGTCGATCGTAATCACATTATTTAAGAAAATAAATCCTACAAAAAACATGACGTAAATCAATTTTGAATTTATATTTTATACCAGTATTTTATTGATTTTTATAATCCACATTATCCAAACTACTAATGGTTGTTACAAATATATATCTAGAAAACAAGTAACTACTCGAATAAGGGTTTCAATAATAGGATTGATAAGCGTGATCTTATTTCTTAAGCTTATCCGATCGTTTTTAACTTGATATTTTGTAACTATATCTGCTCTATGAGTGTGTGTAATGAGACACAATTGGTTGTCACAAAGCTCTCCACTCACGTTTTCGAGTATAAGATACTCACTGGCAATCACGCAAGTGATAAAGTGTTGATTCCAAAAATGACTATATTTCCTTCTGATGTTAGAATTCCTCTAAAGTTTCAGCGTCGGCAGTTTCCCATTATGGTTTCTTACGCCATAACTATAAATAAGAGCCAGGGACAATTATCTGCATGTGGGCTTATTTCTTAAGAAACCAGTATTTTCTCATGGCCAGTTGTATGTTGTTGTCTCCCGTGTCACAAACATAAATAGTTTGAAAATCCTAATTTGTGGCGACGATTACGTGTCAAAGAATCAAACCATGAGCGTTGTATATAAAGAAATGTTCAATAATATATAGATTTTATTTTCATTATATTTTTTAATTATTAATGACATGATCTTTCCTTTAGTAAGTACTTTGAATTTTAATTGAAAATTGCTTTTTAAAAGAGACGGAGATAATAAACCCCCGTGCATCGCACGGGTACTGTACTAGTATTACCTAATTCAATATCTTAACATTAAGGAATAAATCCATAGTATTATGTAAATTCGTATCTCATATATATTATTATATCATTAAGAATATATCATAGTTATATTATCAAATCATAAAATATATTAAATCCATATTGTAAAATAAAAAAATTCATATAATTTTATAACAATTTTACTACACTATTTAACAGTATTCCTTTTTATTATATAATAAAATAATAATTAAATATTATATGGTGAACAACAATAAGTAAAACTGTTACTTTCTCTTATATCAAGGGATAAGTTTATATGCTAAAATTAAATTTTTATTAGTATAAATATTTTAGTGAGATAATATTTTAATTATTTTAGAAGTTAACCCTAACATGCTCATATTTAATGATATGGTAAAAAAACAACTCTGGGTAAAAGATATGGAATAAAAATTTATAATAACTCTATTGTTTTTTAGACTTAACGTTGATTAAAAAAGGTAGAAAATAGATAATAATTGTTTTAGACTTAAACGGACAAGACTGTACGGGACGTACTAGTTAAAATATAAATTATGCTACTAGTCTAATAAAGCGTGTGAGCCCCAAGAGTCGGAGACGAGAGGCAGAACTCACAAGATAATGAGGATGCGCGAAGACTTTAATTTCTTTCTCTTCGCAATTCTCACCTTGTATTGTACCAAATTCATTAACCAATTCCAATAATCTCTTGAATAAATTATACGTTAAAATAAATAATTAAATATGTCAAGATTGTACGATAACTGGGGGAAGCTCGTCGCCAAAGTTATCAACAGAGAAGATCTCAGGGAAATTGCACTACTTGACAGCTTAAGTAGCACCGGTTTCAGTTCTGCAACTTCTGCTCACTTATCTGGTATTAGCTTTATGACCATGGTTCTGAATGTATATTCGAATGCCTGTTTATTTTATTTCATGTTAATTAATTTAATAAATGTTCCTTTGGTTTTGTAATTTCTTTTCTTGCTGTTCGTTTTCACGCAACTTTGGTTTGGGATGAATTATAATGAAGTCAAGCGTTGTTTTTCCTTATTATTTCCCTGTAATTTGATGGGCGTGAAAATTGTCTAAGATGGAGTATTATCGTTTTTTTTTTCCTCTGTTTTNTATAAAGTTCTTCGTGAAATTGGACTCTGATTTGTATTTCTGGTGATGCCTAAAATAATGATACGTCTTTGCTTCAGTTGTTCCTTTCTTACTAGTTAATTAATCCTTAATAGAGGAGCTTTAAATCTGCACTTACAATTTGAATAATGTTCTCTTGAAATGGAAAAGAAAAAGGGGGAAGTCTGATAAGTTGGAATACTTCTATAACTGGTTTAGTCCAAAATTTTGTGTTTGCATATGTATTTTTAACTAATTGCTCTTTATGTATGAATGAAAAAAGAGAATCTTTTCAGTATACGAGTATCCTCAAGCTTGCTGGTTTCATTGTTTTTGTATGCTTAATTAAAATATATTGAATCTTATCTTTTCCTTTTATACAAATTTCACATATGAAAGACAAAAATTTACATAGAAAATGTTGGTCGAGAACCAAAGAAAAGCCGGGAGTTAGCCTCCTTTCACCTGGAATATCATTCTTAACTAATTTGAAGTCCAGTTCAATTTCTCCACAATCCAATTTAAAATTTCTCACAGTTTGTTTATGAAAAAAAAATCGATTTTCAATTAATCTGTACTAGCTTTATGCCCATGGTTCTGTATGTGTATTAAACATGTCTGTTTATTTTATTTGATTTTCATTAATTTTATTGATATTTCCTTTCTTCACATTTAGAAGCATCACCATACCTGAACAGAAACAGCAACTCATCTATACCTTCCAACATAAGCAAATATTCTGAAGCCGATATTCTGTCATCACCACATGTCAAAGCCTTCACGTTTAACGAACTACGAAATGCAACGAGAAACTTTAGGCCCGACAATTATCTTGGGGAAGGAGGATTTGGGCACGTCTTCAAAGGGTGGATTGATGAGCATACCTTTACTGCCTCAAGGCCTGGATCAGGTTTGGCCATTGCGGTGAAGAAGTTGAAGCCCAAGGGTTTTCAAGGACACAAAGAGTGGTTGGTATGTTCTGCTTCTTCTTCTCATGATTATTTATCCAAAAATGAAAAAAAATAAAATAAAATCCCTGAGGTTAGCTTATAGTTTTCTCAAGTCAGTAGTTCTTCCTGATATGAAGACCGGGGGGTATTGTATTGTAAGTAGGGTTGTAATCGAATTGAATCGAAGCGAATGCTCAACTATTCGATTCGGATTCGTGAAAATATTCGACTTATTCGAATTTAATTTTTGATTCGTATTCTGTTTGATTAAGATAATCGAATATATTCGATCCAATTCGAAATTCGTAATATATATTCGATCCACATAAGTATATCGGATTCGAATTCGTATAAATTTTGAATACTAAAAAACTATTCTTCTTCAAATTCAAATTCGACTTTTTTACGAATACGAATCACGAATAACGAACTTGAATCACGAATCGAATCGAAAATGTTTGATTTGTTTACACCCTAGTTGTAAGAAGTTTTTTATTTGTGTTTCTGAAAGATAAGCAGGAGTTTTTTTTTTATTTTTATTTTCATTTTTTCCTTAAAAGAAAATTAGGCCGAATATGAGGTCGTTGTTTTATAAATTGTACATTTCATTTATCCTGATTGATTTATTATAGTAGCATTTTAAGAGCATGGAGATGATTTGCAGAGGGAAGTTAATTATTTGGGGCAACTTCATCACCCGAACCTTGTAAAACTTATTGGCTACTGTTTGGAGGGCGACAACCAACTGTTGGTTTATGAGTTCATGCCGAAAGGAAGTCTGGAGAATCATTTGTTCAGAAGTAAGTAGGTATATTTGTGGTAATCTGTTGCATGAAAGTATCTTTGTTTCTTGACAAGGCTAAAGGTCATCAAAACAACTGATTTCCTAAAAGTTATCATTGTTAGTCCATTTTTAAATTTCTGTTTTACTGAATGATAGTCATTCTCTGTCATTTAAGGATCCATTTTTGAAACTTCGGAGTTTTCAATAGCTAATAAGCATTTATTTCAGGAAAAAAAAAAAAGGAAAGAGAAAAACAGAAAAACTGCATTGATATGTGCAATTGCATTTTGTTTTACAGCATGGCCACAACCCCTGAGCTGGAAAACTCGTATAAAGGTCGCCATAGGTGCTGCCAGGGCCCTTTCTTTCTTGCACGAAGCCAAAGAACAAGTTATATACAAAGACTTCAAACCCTCTAATATTCTTCTTGACGGGGTATATGTGCTCATAATTAACTAGTCACTTTTTATTAACTTCTACAAATTCAAACTTGGATGTTCCTATTTGGCACTAAGAAGTTTCAATTCCATTTATAGGAATTCACTGCAAAATTGTCCAACTTCGGTTTGGCTAAAGCCGGCCCCATTGGCAATGGGACGACCCAAGTTAGGGGCACTCATGGATATATTGCACCTGAATTTGTAGCCACAGGTCAGACATTAAAAAAATTGAAAAGAAAAACTAAAAAGTTTAAATTAAAATCCTAAAAAATTCATAAACTAATTCCTGATTAGATGGTTTGATAAAGCTCATCGTCTTTTCATGTTGTTTCCGCTTTTATTTTACATATATTTTGTTCACTGTGGCCAAACGAACCTGAGACTGACATCTCTATAGGCCATCCAACAGCGAAAAGTGATGTGTACAACTTCGGGGTGGTCCTGCTGGAGTTGCTCTCCGGCCGGCGTGTGTTGGACAAGAACAGGGTCAAAATCGAGCAGAATCTGGTGGACTGGGCCAAACCGTACATGAAAGACAAGCGAAAGCTGTGGCAGATAATGGACATGAAGCTCGAGGGCCAATACTCTGAGAAGGCTGCCTTCACGGTCGCCAATGTGGCCCTACAGTGCCTGAAACCCAATCCGAAGGTGAGGCCCTGCATGGCCGAGGTCCTGGCCAAGCTTGAGGACCTCCAGCTGGCGGAAGAAAGTCTAGCAGGAGAGATCCAAATGGCGCCACGCCTCTGGCATCGCCTACTCCAGCTCATCGGAGGTTTTTGAGTTGTAAATTTTACTTGTTATTAAGGCCTACGTTTTTGTGGTTGATGTTGATGTGTATTAGTGTATAACCTTGTACTGCTGATATAAGTTCCATATCTTTTTGAGGTTAATTATGTTAAATTTTAAATAACGTTGTCCCAGCCCAGGATATGTAACACAAATGTGTAGCATCTTTTTAATATAAATGTCTATTGTCTTTGAGTCTAGTGAATTTGGTGTTGCTATTGGCAGTGCCAGAAGACGTAGATAATGTTGGCCGCACACTGTTATCAATTAGTGTGTTCTTTTTCTTTTTTCTTTTTATTTAGAGCTTATTTTCGTTAGTAGTAGTAGTATTTGTCATTATTTGTCGTCGGGTATATATTTTTGTCTGTTGCGCGCTAGTTCTGATACCCCAATAAGTGGTATAAGAGCCAAAGGTTCAATCAAGACTCATTTAGTGAGACAAGCAATGCATTCGAGTTCGAGATGGCCAAGTAGATCATGGCTCATCATCCTGTGCACTCATTTCGGCAAGGACGGTGATGTCGAACGTCACTCTATGAGATCTTCGATGGGACGTCATTTCTGCATGTGGTAAGACAAAGTGCTGGATTGTCTCTTTCAGCAAGGAGTCAACGTTAAAGACACCAGGCGACGTTGATGGTAAGGGCTGGAAGAATATTAACCGATTAGCATGTGCAATATTCTATTCGCGCTTGTCGAGAGAGTAGAAGTATGTGTTCAATAATGTGAACTCTCTCCACACTCTGTGGAAGACTTTGGAGGACAAATTTCGGAAGAAGAGCTGCCAAAATAAACTCATCATGAAGAAGCAATTATTCCGATTTTAGTACTAGCATGACACATCGATGAATGACCACGTCACTGCATTCGATCCGTTTGTTGCAGGTTTGTTGAACTTGGACGTCATATTCAACGATGATGATTTGACTCTACCGTTGTTATCATCTCTTCCAGATTCTCATCCGAGCACTTAGAGACTACCCTGCTCTATACGAAGGACAATTTAACTCTTGCAGTGGTAAATTATGATTTGTACAACTATGAGTTGAGGAAGAAGAACAAACAATAGACGAAGAAGTTTTGCTTGCAAGAGGTCGGTTGAAGAGCCAAAATAATAATGGACGAGAAAGATCATGTTTCAAAGCCAAGCTTTACAAAGACGAGTGAGCTTTCTGTTGGTTAGTGTGGGGACCGGTAAAGATCATCGTCATTGTGCAAGTCACAAATTAAAATTCTACAATTTAAACTTATGCGCAGCGGATTTAATGTTTAGCGTAGAATACTTTTAGCTTAAAAATTTCGCAGACTCTAAGACATAGACTTCTGTTGATGGAGAGCGGTTGATTCCTGTAACGCCCCGTTTTATTTTAAAGAATTTACCGCATTTATTTAATAAAAAAAATCAGAGTTATTTTTTTCTTAATCCAAGTTAAAACATTTATCGAGTAACGGACGCTACTTATTAACCACAACAAATAAACACAACCAACAATCCAAGAACCTACACATGCTCGAGTTATCAATATAACAATCCCACAGAACATACGTCTCAAATTCATTTTAAAAGTCTAGCATGATCACAGTTCAACATACTTAAACTTAGTTCGAAAAGTGGAAGCAGTAAATAATTCAAAGCATAATAGCAAAATAAATAAGTATTAAGTTCAAGCGGAAGCATAGGTTTCAACACATAATGACCACCATCTCGCTCGTCCTACGTCACCGCCTCCAGTTCGTCTCAACCTAGAACAAAGGAAGAGAAAAGACAACAAAGAAAATAATGGGGGTGAGCATAACCAACAAGCTCACCATTATCGCACAGTATATCTCGCATAACATTTTAAAAAGCAGTATCACAATAAACCAATATCAGTATCCGTATGCATAGAATTCATAGCCTAAACCCCCTACCCGACCCTATCGCAAACCTCCTATGTACATACAACAAACCTTCCGACCAGACATCGGCAAGGCCGTGACTGGAAAATTTCCCCCACCCCGAACTACTCACGGATCATGGGAGTCCACCCCGAACTGCTCACGGATCATGGATGTTTTCCAGGAGACAGTGAAGATGTTTTTCTCCCCCGAAACTCACACGGATCAGGGCGTCTCCTCCCGGATACAACGGGCAGGTGACCTCACACTGTTATGCATTCGTCAAAGGCACTATCGTTCGGGACACTTAGACTAGAGTTTTCATGCATACAATAATTTTTCAAAAGAAAACATTACACGAAATAATGAGTGCGATAAATATGGAATACATCATAAATGTACCCACCTGATTGCAGCAACAGTTCAAATCACAAATCTCGAAATGAGGCGAGGGCAACACCTCTAGACACCTACATAAGTCCAGATACTAAAGTCAACATTTTAATCTAGACCTAAGTAGAAAATTCACAAATTGACTTAGCCGAACTTAAGTCGACCAAGTGGTTCGTGAAGTTCTGTGGATATGGGAACTCTAAGACTTAGACTCGATCAAACCACACATTCAAGTTCACATAAATGCAAGTGAAAGACAGACAAACGAGCCACAAGTAAACACATGGCACATTTGTCAACAACACTTAACAAATTTCAATATAGAAAAACAATTTCTCAAATTCACACTTGAATTAGAAGGCATATCAAATAAATGAGTTAGGTTCTGAAACTTTTACATAAATTTCACATCCCTGTTCTAAGTAAGATCACCCAATTTCAGCTTCAAAATCCTTATGCATAATTTTATAAAATTCAAACAAGTTTTTCAGCAAAAACGAGTTTAAATTAAAAGCACATGATAATGGACGATTCAGGCTATGAAATTTTTATCTCAGCATCACATAAATTTGCCAGCCTTCCACACTCAGGATAAAAATTTTAAAAAATTAAAACCACAATCAGCCAAATATCGCAATTATATCAAAACTGATCACAACTGAACTCCAAAAATTCTAGACTTTTTACAGCATGCTAAACATCACATAATAAGCACTTCTACAAATTTTCAGAATTTTTCAGCTCCAGAAAAATTTATAATAATTAAAATAAATTCGGGCAGAATCACAAAATAATTCGTTAACCCTATCAAACCTAGTTCAAAATTTCTAAACATTTTACAAAACATATAATCAAGCCTGACATATAACATACTCGAAAATTGGCCAGAAAAGAACACTACACAATTAATTATACATTTTACAAGAAACTGAACAAAAACAAATTAATTTTTAAAAATAGCTAAACATCTTTAAAAATCACGAAAATTTTACAGCACCTACATATTCATCAGAAACAGCTGCTCCTAAAATTTCAAGGAAATCGGACTAGTATTCGATTTATAATGAATTTTTCATTCGAAACAGCCAATAAGAACTTCGAAAAATCATAACGGCAATTATACACTTCCAATCGACACAAGGTCAGCGCCATTGTGTTCGAAATAATCCTAAGTTCCTAAATCCACAGCAACTAATCACGCACGACCAGTTCTCGCTCGATTCGCTCGAATCGACGAGTTACACATCAAAATTACGATAACATAATATAATGAACAATAACATCACATAAAATCATATGGCATCACAACACATATATTGATTAAACGAACACACTAGGCACAACCGAACATTATATCATTCACGAAATATTTAGACAGGGAGTCGAGACTCGATATCGAGCGAGTAAGGGTACGAACGGGGGAAAACGGCTCGACGGGCTCGACGGCTTCGCGCGGCTCGCCGAGGAGAGAGCTGTGGTGATCCTTCTTGGTTGCGGAGTCGCTGCGATGGTTGAGGCGAGCCGTCGGAAGTGCTGCTGCGGAAGAAGAATCTCGCCGGAAAAAGGAGGTTCGCCGGAAGTTGCAGCGGCGCCGGAGATCTGCAGGAGAGGAGGGCTCGCAGAGGTGGGTCGCGGCCGGGGATGGCTCTGCTCGCCGGTGGAAGGAGGCTTGCTGAGGCTTCGTCGGCGCGAGAAGAACTCGCCGGAGGAAGAAGCTTGCAGCGGCGAGGAGTTGCGGGTCGCCGGTCGTCGACTTGCAGGCGGAAGGCAACAGCGGAGATAGAGTTCATGAACAGGGGCTCGCCGGGAAGGAGGTGGTCACGGCGGAGGGAGCAGTGGCGGACAGAATTCACGAAAATCCGATCTCGACGGGCTCGTAGAGGACAAAGGGTCGCCGGCGGGGAGAAGCTTGCAGGCGGACATGCTCATCACGGGGTTGCTGTTCGCGAGCAGAGGGACTCGCTGGTTCAAAGGATGGCAGCCGTTGGTCGCCGGAAGTTGGGCCTGAGGTACTGCTCGCGGAGGAGGATGGAGATCGAGTGACAGAGAAGAAAGGAGCGTGCGGACTGAGCGAGAGAGAGAGAAGGGACGATAGTCGGGTTCGAGAGAAAACGAGATGAGATTTTGAGCGTGAGAGGAAGAGATCGGGAGCAGATCTTGAAGGAGAAAAAAAAAAGCTGCGGATTGTGTTTGTGTCCAAGGAGAGAAATAGATACAATTTATATATATATATACCTATGATTAGGTTTACTAATTTCTTGACTTTGAAGACAAATTACACAAACACACACGCCCACATAAATAGAGAAACCGGGTCTTGGGGCGGGTTAGGCTCGCGGGCCGGTTCATACGGGTTTTTGTCAAATAGCTCGACTCTCGGGCTCGGTTCAATCGCACGATTAAAATAATAAACTCCGGATAATATTTATAGGCATTAATTTTATTTCTAAAATAATAATATTAGTAATCAAAATATACAATTAAGCAATTAACTACATTTAGACATTTAATATTAGACACTCAATATTAATCTTAATAACATCACAATAATAATAAACACCAATAATAATAATAACACTTCAAATAAACCACAAATAAATGGGGCATTACAATTCCACTCGCCAGAAAATCACCTCGTCGGATGTCTTAGAGTCACCGGGATGGTCGCGCGATCGGACGGAGTCGGCTCGCATGGGTCGTGTGGATGGCGTCGTGCGGCTGCGGGAGTGTAGCGGGTCGAGCGCGGTTCTCGCGGGTCTGCTGGCGTGCATGGGTCGCCTGCGTTGTGCTCGCCGAGGATGTCGCGGGTCCCGCTGGATGGGAGCAAGGGTCAACGCATGCAGGTCATGCGCAGTGGTCGTCGGGGCTAGCGCGAGCGGATCGTGCCCGTCTCGACTGAGGGCGGGGGCGTGCGGTAGAGCGCGGAAGTCACCAGGGCCTCATCAACCTCGGAGCCTTCTAATGTATTACCCGACACCTCTCTGGTTGTTCGTGGCAACAAGCTTGGAGAGAATCTCGATTGGAAACGAAGGTCAGCCGCCGTGCGTGTGTTTGTGCTTATGGTGCCTCTCAATCCCATCAGATATATGGTGTATATATAGGGCTACAACATAGACTCTAAGGAGATGATAATGTGGCTTCTTAAGTCTTGGCCTAACTGTGGGCCAAGCCCACTGTACTCAATGACTTAGACAATATTTCAGTCCACTAAAGAAATATTATCGCACTCCCTCATTATCCCCGATTTACTGTCGAGGCTCCAATCATAATTACCTAAATTACCTCCCCACGTTTAACATATAATGTCCGTCAATTAATTTATTTACTGACAATCAAATTAATTGACATCTTGAACCGAAGCTAGTACCACTCAAATCATTATTATAATGTTGAAACTTAATCCACATGTAGGGTTTAACATAATAATCGTTCATGAGCTCATTCGTGGACATTATCAGACTAACGCACATGGTAACTGTAAGTATTTGAACAACACAACATGCATGCAACATCACCACCCACTTACCCAGACTATTGGCCCAGACAGAATGAACATCACCGTTTGGTGAATCAAAGCAGTGTCTACTACATACATGTGTTTGTTTATATCTTACAGGTTAACAAAACGCATTAATTAACCAAGACCTAGTTCATTTACGTTGATCAGTATAAAACGAACTCTCCTCTCTAGGATAAGTTAAATACACAAGTGTACCAGTCCAACTAATCAGTCAAGACCAACTATACAGTTGGCACTACAATCGCTCCGGTGGTTTGTTTATTTCCATCTAGGTTGTGAGCCAATTATTTATGTTTTGCAAATAACTAATAAAATGATCTTCTGTCCATCTGTTTTGAACCATTTTATCTAAGTGCAAAACAATAGAACATAGAACTTGTTTAATCAAACACGATTCTCATTCAACAAAAGTAGTGTAAATAAAATCCAAAGCTCAAACTTTCAATATCTACACTAACACTTGGTACACTTAAAGTTTTGCTTTATTTTAAACAAATTCTCAATTTTAAATGAGAATTGAAATTAGTCAAAAGTATTTTTTCTATTACTTTGTAAATAATATGGTTCATCGTGTTGAACACAATATCTTGTTATCAGTTCCTTGTAAAATATATAGTATGTCCACAACTAGAAAGGATTGAACTATCGTTACTGGTTGTAGTATAATTATGGAATTAGTTGATCTTGACTAATGAATTACACTAGTATACTAAAAATGTATTAAACGTACCACGGAGAATAAGTTTATTTTATACTGACAAAGTAAATAAACTATACCTCAGTTATTACTCGTACTACTAATCCGTAAGACAATAACGGCCACGTGCATTCAGAAATAAGCTCAAGAGGATTATTATGCTAAATCATGAAGGTGTATTAAGTTTCGACATAGTAATAAGGTTGAGTGTTACTAGTAACAATAAAATAGATTAAAGCTCTCCCTTTCCACCGTCGAACACATCGTCGCTACTGCCACCACAAGCCGTCGAGCCAAAAAAAACCATCTAGTAAGTGCTCCATGATCAGCTCCAATGGACACAAACACGCACACAGATTGGATATTCACCCCAACATGAAAAGGACCACAAATCAAATTTCACAACTCCAAATGGCCAACGGTTAGATAGATCCAAGAGATCAAACCAGATCTAAACCCAAACCCAAAGGAAAAAAGTGAAGGGGACCAACACCAAAAATCTCTAGCCTCAAATGGCAACCGGAGAAGTGCAAGAGGAGAAAGATAGGCCACCTACAGGAGCCGTGTTCCTTTTATGGTAGATTAGATCACTCATTGAACTCAAATATTGTTCATCTCTTAGCATACAACTGATTGTCCTACACAGAAAATTCTGAGTATTACACACAGTATTACAATTTGAGGCTGATTACATTTGTACTTATCCCTTATATGGTGTGTTCACACTTAGGGATGAGCACGGGCCAGAGCCAAATCGAACATTGAGATTCAAAAATTTAGATCTCCAGAACTGAACTGGTTCCTAAAGATCTCCATTTCGAACCCAACCGAGTTCGGTTGTAATGGGTCAGTTCGGTATGGATCGGAGATTTTTATTAATTTCTTTTTTTTAAAAAAAAATACTTTTTTATTTCATAAAAAGATGATAAATATTTTTTAGCGGCAAAATATCATTAATCCAAAATATAATTTAATTTAGAAGATTTTTATGTGAATCATTTATATGCCAAAAGATCCTCGAGTGATACGAAGTACCAATCTATACTTATATAATAAGAATTAACATTTATCTAAAATAGTAGGTCAATGTCGAATTTGCATTAAATATTTTCCAAAAATATCTAGCCCAGGAAAGCTGTCCAAAACGAAGGAAATCGGTTCCTTTCGCCAATCCCTCATTATTTAAGCTCTAGCCTGCATACCCGTCATTGCTATTGCATGAAAATCCAAAGAAGGTTTTCCTGTACGTTCATCACAAAATATTTCTAGATCCCAATAGACCCAATGCCAAATAGCTGCCAAAAAGCATAACTCTTGGGCTCAGGAATTCTTATCTAATTTAAGTGATACAGTCAAAGCCTTTTTGATTCTTTTATTAACCGATTTATGTATCGGATTTCATTTAGCCCATTTTTCTATAGGTTATATATTCACTTATGCAGCCTTCTTGATTGCCTCTACATCGGGAAAATTTGGAATTTTTTCATCCTATGAGTCAAAAGGCCTGATACAGAGTGGCTCTTTCTCTAGTAGTGGACGAATCTTGATAGTCAGAAAGCAGTAAAGGAGCGAAACCATTCTCTTTTCCTTCACTTCGCTTCGCAGTCTCCTCTCCCCGATAGTCTACAGCCCGCCTAACCCTATTTTCTTCCGTTTGACGAAAGGAAGGATCCAAAAGAATCGATCTTTCTTTTAGTGGTTGATTGATCAATGTGTGATATTCCGAATCCTCATTACTAATGGAATCCAAAACAAGCTATTTGAGTAAGAATAGCTACCTCGGAGATATCGGTTGAAGTAGATTCCTCTTTTTGATCTCTGTGAAATACTCGTTTGGCCGAGGGCTTCCAAATACATCATAAGCTAAACCGGTACTGACGAATAACCAACCCGCAATGAATAGGGAAGGTATAGTAATGCTATGAATGACCCAATATCGAATACTGGTAATAATATCAGCAAAAGAACGTTCTCCTGTGCTTCCAGACATGCTCAACTCCACATATTCTTGTACAAAAGGGGACCGATTCCGTCAAAGATGAGATCAGCAAAAGGTAATCACTGAAATTAGATAAACTGGTCTAAATTAATACCAGAAAAATGGCGAAATAGGGGTTTACTAGACAGACATTATCGAATAGCGCCAACAAAATTGTCCATTGATTTCTTTATATCAAAAAAGCCTTCTAAGGTTATCTCAAAAAATCCTTCTAAGTCTTTGCTCATTATCAGGCAATCACTGATTCACAAACTTGGTGTGGGACTACCTCATATTGGTGACGTTATTGTTGCTGTGATCAAAGAAGCAGTACCAAAGATGTATTAGGAAATGGAATCCTAAAATGACACCTTATATCTCTGGAAAGCGTAAAGGTAATCACAATGGGAATCCTCGTCCACAAAACAAACTGTCCTCGGAAGCGGCACGGCAGAAGAAGCAATCGGGAGGGAAAGAGTCCAAGCGATTAGCCCCAGACAGACAGTAAGACTCGCTCACTCGGGCGCTACACCCGTTTTCTCAGAGATAAAATAATAGGAGCTGCCAGCCCATAATTGGATTCAAACCAACCCCCTATCTGGGGGGACTTTTCCTTTAGTAGATCGTGATGGTGAGTTTCCAAATTATAAAATAATTGAGTTAAGAAACTTTTACTCCTCATTTCAAATGAATCATAAATGGATATGCAATCTTCACTGAAGAAGGTTCCCACCATTTATTGGTGTGGTGGGCGGCAGAGCGGGTTTATCCGGGTCTCCGGTTCGATCGATATGTAGTGCTTGGTGGCTGTCTCCAATCCACTACATCAATAAATGCACATGGATGCCCGATAGAGCAGAATGTGTTCGGGAGGCTGCGGGTACTATGGATCCTCTGACTCCCAATCGGGTTGCCTTCCCAGGTCTTTAAATTGGTAAGTTTTTGTCCTTTTCACACTTCTCATTAATTATGTCTTTTTCACACTTCTCATTAATTATGTCATTTTCACACATCTAATTAATTCATTAATTACGACATAATTATCATAAATCATTCCATCTGAGCTTTTATCGTTAAAATGTATAGCGATCTATTATGACCTTATCCCATTGATATTTCCATGAAGTGTCCTTATCGCGTTCTATTTTTTGGTAACCACTCTATATCAGTAACTGGATATTTGGTTAATGATAGCACACGTCCTTATTTCAAGGAGCGGATATTCTTTGACCTTTAATTAATCTGAACTGATTGCATTGACTTTTCAATTTTTAAAAACTCTTTTTTTTAAATATTTCGGCTTAAGATTCGGATTTCATTATACAAGTCATCGGATTGTTTGAATGAAAATGAATGAAAAGAACACCAAAAACAGGTAGCCTTATTCATATAACTAATCCTAAAATATTAGTTTGTTCACCAAAAAGAGACAAATCCTAGAAATCCTAAAATATTAGTTTGTTCACCAATCCTAAAATATTAGTTTGTTCACCAAAAATATTAGTTTGATTTTTAGGATTTGTCTCTTTTGAAAATATTAGTTTGTGATAATGAGGAGTTACCAAATAATCAAACTCATAATGTTGTGTACAAGGAGATTTTTAATAATATATGATTGTTACCGAATTTTTTATGATTCAACAATATTCCTATGTATTTTAATGATTTCAATTTCGATCCTAATGCACGTGAGGTTATATTATTCTTCCAAATTTTACATCCCGTGCATCGCACGGGTTACGTACTAGTGAACAATAATCAATTTGAAGATAGTTACTTGTTAAATAAAAGGATTATATGCAGATAAAATATTCTCTACCAATATTGTGAAATTTATAGTACATATAGAGTATGTTTTCAAAAATGAGGATATTTAATCTTATTAAGTTATAATTTGTTAATTTTACTAATGAAATAATTGGTATATCCATTCTTAATCCAATATCACGGTGAAAATATCTATCAATTTATTTTTATTTGAAAATATATCTTATTTAAATAAATAACTCTCTCCAAATTTTGTAAAAGATTTACTTCACAAAGGTCGATTTCCAAACATATGATATTTGAATTTGATTAAGTTATAACTAATGATTTTCTTAATAAAATGTTTGACATTTTGATTACCAGATTTTGTAATAGGAAAGGTATATTAATTTAATTTTCTTTTCAAAAAAATAATTCAAAACTGAGATCTTAGATTTAATAATACCTCATATGATATACGAAATAAATTAACTATTTTTTCATTCATTAAATTCTAGTAACTTACAATAGTGGAGGCTTATTTGCAATTCAATTTTAAATATAATTTATGGTATTTTTAGAGACAAAGACGTAATATATATATTGATTTTATTTGCAATTCGGTTTTAAATAAATATATGTATACAAAGATGAAAAGAAAAAATAAGATAAAATATTATTGGTACTGTTCGATTCAGAGATAGTCAAACAGTCAACGAATATTTTTTGGTCTTGTTGGTATTACACGACCAACAAATAAAAAATAAAAATAAAAACTAAAACTCACTTAGAAGTAAGGATGTATGTGTAACATAGAAGGTGAAAATATGAAATTTGATCTTGTTGGTATTACACGGTAGCAATTTTTGTTATGTTGATAACATGTAGTTACCAATCTGATTATGTGTGTAGTGCCCCAGTCAAATATTAGAAGACATCTCGATTATTTATTTTATTTATGCAGTTAGTTGCATTTTTTTAAATTATTCCATATATTAGAAGACATCTCGATTATTTATTTTATTTATGCAGTTAGTTGCATTTTTTTAAGTTATTCCATGCAGGACAAGTTATTCGGAATTAATTAGACGTTAGTGTCTATTTAATCTATTTAGAGAAATATTTATTTGGACGTTAATGTCTTTTTAAATTATTCGAATTATCGAATATTCGTTAGCCATTCGATTTTATTCGATTTACTCAGTTAGTAGCCGTCGAAACTAATTTAAATTCGTTTTTGACTTCGTCGATTTTATTAGTTCTCGACTTTTTTAAATTTATCGAATGAGCTTATAATTTTCGGCCCTTTTGATCGAGATTCATCGGCCTTTTTCTAGTCTTGGGCTCCAATATTATTTGATTTTTTTTTTATTTATTTTATTTATTTATTTTTTTTTTGGTGGGACTAAAAAGACATATTACTCATCTAAGAAAAAGCCAACCAAAGAAAAAAGGGAAAGGAAAGAAGAAACTTCAATGAAAGTACTCGTCCAGAAAGTCACACTTCAAGAAAGCAACACAAACTGGTGCGAACACTAGACTTCATAAGGGTGTATACTGTAATAGCAAATCCTGCACGGTAGCTCCATTTTCTCACCCAAATTGGTACAGAGTAGCAACACCTCCAAGTACTTAACCCACCCAACTGGAATTACAGAGACATCCTTACTTGTAGATTCGAATCGGCTCCTGTGTTTCTCCCCCGTCATTCTCCACGCAAACGTTCGCGGATCCATCTCCCAAACTTCCCAATAAAACTCCCCACACTCACGCAATAACGACAAACACTTTCCAGTCGACAAGTAAGTATTCTTAATTTCCCCCCTCTGGCCAATAGAGTAACCGGGCCCAGGGTTCTCGGTGAATTCCTCTGTCTCCAAATTCATGATCAATAACCTGTCGTCTTGCAAGACCCAATGCATAAACCCATCAGCAATCAAAACCGGTTTATACTTCAAAACCCTAGGCTCGGCCTGCATCACCTCCAATGGTTAACAAAGGAAACTCGTCCACCTTTACGCCTGTATATGGGTCGGGAGGAATGTAGACAACCACTTTCAGATCCATGGAGTCCCGAGCGCGTGCTACTCCCCATGAATACATAGGTGTCGCTTTAGAACGAGTGACGAGTGAAGGGAGATTAAGAACTATCTGTTTTAATAATTGAGTGTAAATGATTGTACAACTTGGATTATTGGTTGGCAAAGTTGACTTTAATTATTGATCAAAATTATTGCAAATAATTGATCATAATTATTGCAAAGAATTGATTCCCAAGCAACTTGATTAGCATTTTCTCATCTATAAATAGAGTCTCTGCTCATTTGAGAAGACACACAGAAAGAAAGAAAGAAAGAAACACGGTAGAAGAGAGGAAAGAATAAAGGGAAGAAAAAAATAATAATAATAATAATAAGTTCAAGAAAAAAAAAATAGAGAAAATTATCTTATAGATAATTTTATTTTTTAGTGCTCAATTCTCGACTCCGTTTTAGTTCGCCGGAGCTCGTAAATCTAGTGTGCTACAGATTTAGAGACGTTTGCCGTTGTATCTTTGGGGAAGTTACGCCTGAACCGTTAGCTGCCACACGGGGCGTATTCTTCTTGCGGAAAGAGTTTTACTCGCCTCGGCTAAAATCTTTCCGTCTTAGGTTTTAATTTATTTTCCAATTGTAATTTATTTTTTCAGTTCTATTGTAATTTTCTATTTTTTAGATTATTTGTAAGAACTGAAAAATACATATCAGTTCGTAGGATTCCCGTGTAATTTTTATACCCAGTTGATAACAATCGCAAGAAGAATATCTCAACCTACTGGACTGATGGCTTCCACCGGAAATGGTTCCAACACTCAGCATCCGATCAATCATGTACCTGCTGTCCATGTCCCTACTGCTGATAAGCCCGAAAAATTCAATGGGCTTGATTTTAAAAGGTGGCAACAAAAGATGCATTTTTACCAGACCACTTTGGGTTTGGTGAAATACCTGAAGGACGACCCCCCGGTTATTGCTGAAAATGAGACCAATGCTGAACTACGCACTGCGTACGAAGCTTGGGGGCAAGGTGATTACCTTTGCCGTAACTATGTCCTGAACGGACTTAGTAATGAGTTGTACAATGTGTACAGCTCGGTTGGTTCTGCCAAAGAGCTTTGGGCTGCTTTGGAGAAGAAGTACAAGACTGAGGATGCCGGGGCGAAGAAATTCGTCGTCGGCAAGTTTCTTGACTTCAAGATGGTCGACTCTAAGACCGTCATGTCCCAA